TTTCGGGACACCATACATCTACGAAGAAGTTTTAAATCTCGGTTGAATTAAAGATTACTGACTAACCTTCCAAACAAATGATCAAAATAATATCGTGTTACTAGTGTTGTCCAGATTACATTATTGTTCAAATTTTGGAATGAGAAGTAAAATATTTTTAAAACAAATGTTACTAATGAAAAACTCTTGCTTTAGTGAATCGTCTTTCCCTACTGTATGAAGAAAAATATTACTTTGTTTACTAGTATTTTAAATGTAAATACTTTTATGGGGCTATTATTTATTAAGAGAAGATTGATACAATGTATTTCAATTTGCAAATCACAGAGAACTTTTCTTCAAAGAAAAAAAATGATGTGATCATGTCTTGATTTGAGACAGGAATAAAATGATAAACTATGAAAAATTTTTGAAACCATTTTGCTTCTCAGATATTGCATGAAAGTTAACTGTCTGATTAAAGTGAACATGCTGAGTTTTAGGCCCATATGGTAGCTCAGCTTCACGCAAAAAGAGATCTATATTCCAGTGCAAATTCTAATAATGAGGGGAATTCTTATATATATTCATCTTCTACTACTTACTTCCTAAATGCTTCCTTTTTGAATTCAAAGACTGTTTTAAGCGTCAAAACATCTTGCGTTTTATTTATTAAAATTCATGTACCGTACGTTACCAACAGGGCCAGCTCGTACTACATGTAACAATAATATCGATTAATTAAGAATTGACCATCGAATTTTTTGTAATAGTGTTTTCTTTTTTACTTTCATTCCTATTAAAACGTAATCAGAATTTTTGACCAGCATAATAATAAAAAAAAATTCTTCAAAAGGTTCAAGGTCACATAGTTTAAAATAACAATTTTTGCTACATGTGCTCCCTGAGTTGAATCATAGCTGTTAACTTGTCGGTTGTTCTGTTTATTGTTTGGTAGATAAATAGCTTAAACCGTTATATTGAGAATCATTTGTTTAGTCATTGGATTTCATGCTCATGTTAACTTTGATAAATAGATGATCCCTATTGATATAAGACCAAAGGGTCAGAGTTTCCTGGTTTCTGTTTTACCAACATCAGATGATGTCCAACAGGCCGGTAGGAAGCAATTTCAGTTTGGGGGGGGGGGGGGGCACAACCATACATTTTTCAGTTGACAGTTGAGGGGGCACTACCAAAAATTTCCTGACAAGCAAAAAAAAAAAAAAGGTCATCAGACGTTTTTATTGAGGGGGCACATGCATATAGTATCTATGTTTACTATAGTAATCTATATATCGGCAAAATTTTTTTTGGGGGGGGCACCCCCCGTGCCTCCCCCGGTTCCTACGGCCATGTCCAATCAAAATCTTAAGGATTATTTCATGCTGATTTACCACAAAAAAGATTACCTTATTGATCTTAAATGCTAGGATGTTTTCTTCTTTATTGATATCAAATTAATATTGTCTGATCAATAATTTGATATCTATCAACTGCACACATAGGTTTGCATTCTCCAAATATAAAGGATGGGGTACATGGATAGTGTTTAAAAACGGCGTTTTTAGCTCACCTGAGCTAATGATTTCTCTTGAGTTTGTGCAGTTATACCCCCCCCCCCCCCCAGCTCTTTGGACGAAGGAAATTCAAATTTAATGAAATCAATGACTATGCCCTATTCAAATAGCGGAAGTGAATATTAATAAATAAAACGTATCATCTCGAGAACTACCTAGATTGGAAAAAAATTATGTAAAATGTCCATTTCAACAACGTAGATTTACATTCAAAAGTTGTGAAGGCTCATAAATCTTGTACTTAATTTAACATCGTGGACCTGAGAAATGGAAAACGGTGGAAATACCTTTTTGTATCATTATTGGTGAATCATATAATGAAGGGTTTTGGATTGTATGACTATATGTTAAAATTAATTCTAATTCAGTGAGAAAGAAAAAGAGAGAGCTTTCGATATTAGTTTGGTTTAATCCAGTAAGGAAAAAAAAATTGTATTCTTTCAATAGAAGAAGATGTCTTAAGTTTGACCTTCAGATAATGAAATGTTTCTTTTATTATTATTATTAAGAATATGCGAATTCGTCGTTACGTAGCTTGAAAGTTTCATTGGCAATTTTCATTTTGATTGTTTGTTTAACGTCCCTTTCGAGAATTTTCCCCTCATATTGAGATTTTGAAAAACTTGCAACAAAAATGCCCCGAAAAAGCTGACAATAGCGATACATAAAGGTTTACATACTAGTAAGCTAAGTCATATATACCCATGACTTATGATACCACCACAACAGGTGTGATGCATACCTAGTACCCCCTTTTTGGTGAAAATCCAACATAAATGACACGAGACATCTGGAAATAATACTATATAACGTGCATGCTGCTTTGCCTAAGCACAAGGACAGGGTTCGAACAACACGATTTATTTATAATTTTATTTTTTTTCGCATCTGGGATAGAAATAGTACTTATTTTCTATTTCGTATGATTTTCTGACACCCCCCCCCCCCGCTTTAAAAGCGGAGACATATAGTGATGGGGTGTCCGTCCTTCCGTCCGTATGTCTTTCCGTCCGTCCGTTACACTTGGGGGTACCCATCTCTTATCCACAACTCCGCATATACCACTGAATAAAAATGAAACTTTCATAATATCTTTAATACATAATGCCATTGTGCAACTCTTATTTTACATTCTCATCGGACACATATTTGAGATTTCCCTTAGTAAAATATGGGCACTGCCATTCTTTGTATAATATTGGGGGTGCCTATCTGCAACTCCTCCTATACCACTGAATATAAATTTCACAGAATCTTCATTACGTAGTGCCATTCTGCACCTCTTATTTTAAAGGTTTTTTTTCGGCTGTCTTATAAATAGCAAATCATGGACTTTGCCGTTTAACTCAAGCTGAGATATCATTTTGTGAGCTCAATGTTTACCGTACCTCTAGTATTGAAATGCATTATGTGTCGGCGGTTTTCTCTACCTCTGCAATATTTTATTGAAGCTAAAGTAGAGCTAAGTTTCCAGTACAAATTCCCCGGAAGTCACGGTTTTAGGTTACTGAATTAAAATGAATTTGTTTCAAAGTCGGACTTTTTTCCCTGGAAAATTGCTTTATTTCAAAGACTCGAGAAAAATATTAAATCAAATCGCTTCTCGGTTCCTGATTCCTTCCTTTAAAAGTGATATTTTAATTTTCATGGTTGACCAACGTATACAAGATCGAGGCACGTTATGTAATTATCGAGTAAATATAAGGAGTGAATGGCACATTGAATTCGTAATTTAAATGCATAAATTTTATTGTTATTTGTTGTTTCTGAATTTATAAGGGATATGAGAAAGTATCAAACTTCGATTTGTGTTTAAAAGATTGGTATCTAGCGCTATATAACTTTTTACTTAGTGAAAATAAAATTATCGTGTTTAATTTCGATCTGAACCTTTTTATTTAGTATTTACAAAGGACGTGTAGTCTAGAAAGACAGTTTCAATATGTAATTTTTAGTTCTCTTGATTAATCCTTTGAAATTGTTTTTAAAGATTGGAGAATGATGCAATGTAGACTGTTGCAAGTGTCATGTGACTTGTTGAGGGAGGCAATTCAGGCCCGTAGCAACGGTTTCAAAAGGGGGGGGGGGAACTGCCCCCCCCAAAAAAAAATCTGACCAGCAAAAAAAAAAAATTTACTGTCCAAATCCTAGAATTTGCCAGTGCTCGACCTTACAGCATCAAAAAGTGTGTGGGGGGGGGGGGATCAGCATCTAAAGGAACATTTACTATTGCAAAATACTATACCCAGAAAAAAAGTTGGGGGGGGGGGGAGAGGCGCCCCCCCCCCCCTGCGTTCTACGGGCCTGATTCTTAAGAATGAGTTAATTTTGTCTCAGAAAAAGTAAACAAATAATCCAACTGGCAATTTGTCAGTTTACAACAATACCCCCGGGGACATTCCGTTTAATTTATCACATACCCTTGTTAATGAATCAGTGATGGTTATATCTTATTTTGGTTTCGAAGAAGATTCTGAGAAAAAGGAATATTTATGTCCATAAAAATTTAAGAGTAAAAATTCAATGAATAAGACAAGAAAATAAATACTAGTAATATGGTGTTAGCTTCGTTGCAAACAAAACCGCTGATTTATGCCTTGCCACTATCTTTAAGAAATCATATTCATCGTCTTAAACGTACGAGGCAGTGTTTTTCTATGGTGTAGGGTATATTTAATTGTCACTGACATGCATGGGATAAGAGGGCAATTTTTTTTTTTTTAAATTGAAAATCTATTAAAGGGGATCCAGACTCTGCTCTGTATATGTAAATATGGAAATACTAGATGCAAATAAAGAAATATCAGAATATATTACCCATAAGGTCAGAGAATTATCCGCTGTGTACCTTTTCGAAAAAAAAATCTGATATGCCGTTTGTATTCTTCTACCATATTATTTAAAAATATTCTTAGATAGGGATTTATCTTACGAATATTGCATCGTAGAAATCAAGCTGCAATTGTTGTGCATGGCAGACTTGCACGCTGTAATTAAATGGCCGGTTGGGGTGTGTTTTGTATGTATAATGGGGGTGGGGGTGGACATGATCCTTTCCTCCTACTTTTGGAAGGGGTTTATAAAAACTCCTGCTACTGCCTCTTTTCTTAGGTACTCCATTGTTTTTTTTTCTTTGACTTTTATACATGTACATAGCATTGCTAAAATACGAATAGAAGAAACAGACACGTATCTTTGTTGTGTATAAAGCCATGCAGACAACTAGGAACATTAAATGCTTGATACATGTATTTGAATGCTCATGTTTTCATTTGATGAAAAAAATTACTGTTAAAAAGTTCTAGTTATTATAAAACATTCATAAAAACTAATTAGCATAGTGATAAAGCAAGTGTAAGATTCTTGAAAATTATACATCAGCAGTTTGACATATTGGTGGCAGCATCGTGTAAATGTTTACAATTTGTGTATATTTCAGTAACAGTAGAAAATGACAGACACGCAAGGGCAGGGAAAGGCAGCTCCAGCCCTACCAAAGATTAAGAAACAAAGTAACAAAGGTAAATTTGTTATTTATAATGACATTATAATTAAATTGATTCATTGCATGTTGTTTAACATAGTTTAACATTCACTCATATAGAGACGTCACCGTATGCCGGTGAAGGGCTTCAAATTTAGACGTATACTCGGCACTCGGGGTCATTGAGCAGTGAGCGTTCTTTATCGTGCCAACGCCTACCGTGACACGGATCTCGGTTTTTAAGGTCTCATCCGAAAGACCCATTGACTCTCACTTCTAGTGCCGGGCGCTTGGCGAAGGTACAGTCAGTGTCAAAAGAAACATACATGTATATTTGCCACATGCTTACTAAAGTAATGTATAATCACTCTCCAAAGATATTGGTATTGGTATTGCAATGTTGGTTTTTGGAAACATTACTTAAAATTTTGAACATGTCAGAATTTTGTATCTTTAGGTCTTTTGATGAGCTATTAAGAATGTGTCAAAGGAAGAAATCAAACTCATAAACCCAGAAAAGACTGCAAATCGTGAACGAAGGAAAAAAAAAACAATACAAAAGAAAAAAAACCCTGAACTCTGTATCGATCAATTAAACCTTTTTATTTGTTTGTCACACGTCTCTTCGAGAATTTTTTCACAACTATTAATACGCCACCACTTGCCGATCGAGGGCTGCAAATTTAGACCTGTACTCGGCACTTACGGCCTGTCAGCAGTGAGGGATCTTTTTTGTGCAAGCACCTATTGCACGAGACCTCAGTTTATACGGTCTATCCGAAGGACAGATCTCCGTGTCATACAGTGGATTCGAACCCGATACATAAGGATCAACTCCTTACTCCGCGACTCATGAGCAAACGCTCTAACCACTGCGCCTTGAGGGCAACTATTCCGTAGTCAAAATGGTGTAAAACAATGGCCTAACAATTGGTGGGAAACATATCAGTCAAAATACGACTGAATGATAGGTTATATTAACAAAGGAAGTCATGAAAACGACCATTGATTTCGCAAAATGTTGACTTTTAACGAGGTAGCGGAAAGCCCTGTGACATCGACTTGTTTGTCAGTAGCCTGTTTATGTTTGAAAATTGACTGTACATGTACTCAGAACTTGCTCTTGAGTATCGAATCAGATCAGAAATATAAACACTATATGCAGGCCCAAGCCTGAAAAGCACATGTTTTGCGTCCGTATATCTGTACATCATTGAGGCTGTCTGAAGTCAGACGTTTTTGTCTTATGTATTGATACCTAGGTATATTCCACAAATACCGACTGGAAATTTTGCCTGTCATAACTCATGGTCATGCAGACATCCAAGCACTGAGTTGGGTATTTTACCATGTTTGCATTACTCTTGTTTTGTCAAGAACTAGATTTGCGTATGTGTTGATTTTGTAGATAAACCTGTTTCTGTGGACAGCTTTGAAGTACATTTTTTTAGTTGCGCTTTACATATCCCCCCCCCCAATACCCCAAAACTTAGCCAAAGAAAGTACAGACAATATGACATACATGTATATGTAAGTCTTATGAACTCGGTTCTTAGTCTATTTTAGACCAAGTTTAATATTCTTGGACATTGCTTCCTTATTTTTAGGTGGGTTGCGTAACGTGGAAAACAATAGTAGAGATGCACAGGAAGTGAGATTGACAATAGAGCGGTCAAATCTGGACTTAACATACTCCTCACCATGGACTCCGAAAACAATCCAGATGGTTGTCAACAAGGAGCTTGAATCTCAGTACAGGTATATTTCAAACTAGATTTAAAAGTTCTCTAAGTACAATTGAAGCTCTGCAGTGTGATTTCAATTAATGATGGTGTTTTTGTAGGGAAAAGAAGACAGCAATGAAGGAAGAAGGGCGGCCAGCCAGGGAGCTTCAGGACCACTTTGCGTTTATTTTGGTGAAAGATCCAAAGATAATGTCAAAGATAGCACAAGAAGGCGTCAAGACCAAACAAATAGCATTCAATGCACTAGGTTAGCGCTAGATGATACATGTATTTATGAACCATATACTGTGTCCTTGTATTAATGAATTGGTTTAATATAATTTAGATTTTGAAATACCATGCGTATAATTATTTAATTAAGACAAAAGATTTCTTGATTGATAGCTCAAATTACTTCTTAGACATAGGATACACGAAAATTATGGATCACGAAAAAGTACATATCTCTTTTTTTTCATTTTTGCAAAAATAAAGTCATGAAAATAAACCTTACATACAAGTACATTAGGGTTCGCTCTGTGTGCTTCTGTTATTGAATATTGATGAATTTCAGACATTTTGAATTGCTTGAACTGAAAGTTTATGTCTTGTGTTCAGGTAACAGTAAGCTTGGAATCTATGTCTGTAAGCATGCAGATGTTCAGCTGAAACTTGCAGAATCGTGGAGAGTTGATCAATGCCACCTTATTGTGTGCAAGGTTAGAACCATCTTGTTGTAAATGACATTCAAACAATTATACATATAAATTATGCAGGGGTTTTATGAAATAATAGAACAAAGATGTGATGTTGATTTTTCTAACCTTGATACTATAGGTTATGTATGGGAAATGCAAATTGGTGACTCCACAAACAGGCACAGAAATAGAACCTACACCCAACTTTGACTGCCATGTTTCTCAGGAGAAACCAAATCCTAACGATTCCTTTAATCTACAGATCACAAAGTCTATGGTAATTATAGAGAGAATTAACTAAATATTACATTTTTTTCCAAAAGCTGATTTGATACTGATTTGCATTACCGAATCCTTTTTCCTCAATAATAAATAAATACCTTAGTACAAATATAGAAATTATTTAAAGTATCTTTAAGAAAATTCAATTAAGAAACATTTTGACAAGATTTATTATTATTATTTCAATTCTTATATAACATTGATTTCCCAATCAGTATGTAATAATAACTTTTTCTGTCTCTTAGGTATACATGTACGAATACAATGAAGATTATGAAACAGTTGACAGACCAAAACACTGTGTACCTTATGCATTTGTAGTCTATGAAAAATCTAGAGATAAAAGGTTAAGCTCTGACACAAAACCTATACAGTGGGCATCTAAACCTAAACCACAGACAAGCTCTCGTCCATCATCAGGAAGAAATGAGGCTTTGAGAAAATCTAACAGAGAAGCCTTTGAGAAAAGAGTTGCAGGGTTATATCATGCCCCTCCATTCCCTCACTTGTATATTCCACCAGTGGAGAATCGGATGATGAGTCAACAGGGACTGCTTCCCTTACCCATTGTAAGGCCCTCCATATATAGTGTCCATCAAACAAGGCAGGATCCCAGGGTAAGGTCTGCAAGTCAAGACGATGATTCTTCATTAACTAAATCTGTGGAAGAATCTACTGCAACCTCCAAATTGATAGGAGAATCTACTGCAGCCTCCAAATCAGTGGAAGAATCTATTACGATGAAACAAGTAATTTCAGCTCCCAAGACCATGGAAGATATAGACACTGTTCCGTATAGCCCTGGTAAAGACCATGAAGAAAATGGCGAAGAGTCCTATGTGGATGCCATTCCTACACCTGAGAGGGAATTGGAGGAAAGCATTATTAAAGCATCATTCAGAAAAGACACTCAACACCCTGAACAAAACACAGAGGAGAAAGTTGATCTTTCCATGCTTAATGCAAATTCTGACCAGCTTGAAGCAGTTGTGAAACATTTAGAAGCGGTATTAAAAAAGAAACAGGAAGAATTGATGATGAAAGAAAGCATGGTGCACAATGATAAAAGTTATGAATCTCAATTTGAGAATGAAGAAATTTCTCAGATGCAAGACGTTGATGAAAGAATTGTTCCTCAGGTAGCAAGTGCAGAGGAAAGTTTTGTCGTGAATGACATGGGAGACATTGATGAAAGAGTGAGATCCACTTCTAGCATGCAAGATGACTCTTGGAATACAAATTTTGCAAATGCATTTGGATTTGATCCAAGAAATATTCCTTTCAAGAAGCCTATAAAGGACTTACCTAAAGAAAAGAAAGACAATAAACACAGTAGTGACATAATTAAAGAAGTTCCTATGGATATCGATTCTGACAATGAAAGTAATCATATCAAAAGTGCAAGCCCACCACAAACAAAAGATAATGATTCATCTCAAAAAGAAAAGACAGGAAGAAAAGTATCATTATCGGATTATAAAGCTAGAAGAAAACAGACATCACCTATTAGGCCTAAAGCAAATGAAACAGTAGGTAGACCAGAAATTCTCAGCAACAAAAATTACCAAGGAAAAGAGACAATATCTTTATCTCCTCAGATAGCGACTTCTACATATTCTCAGTATTTAACTGAAGAACAAGCTAGGTATTTTCAACACTCTTATCCACACCAACAAAACAGAGCAATGGAAATGGGACACTTGAAATTTCCACCTTTAGCTCACTTTCCTGATACCTCATCCAGTCAAATCACAGACATTCAAAATTCTCAACTGTTGGGCCACTTGTCTTCCAATCTTCAGATCAGCAACAACTCTTTACAATCTCCTACAGCAAGTAGATCTCCTGGTTCAGCTGGTAGTTCTCATTTTGGAGGCTTTTTCCAAAGGTCTCCAACTGGTCTTTCTCCTGGAGCATCATCAAACCAGCCAATTGGAAGTATTTTACAGAAAGTAAATGTGGATATCTCAAACATCAAAAACATTTTACAAAGCATAGCATCACCAACAACATCGCCAACCGTCAGTCCAGAAAAGAATATTTGGTCCTCTGCTCATGAAGATGTTCCATGGATGCAGTTGAAAGAGGTTCAGCGACAACTTTCATTTGAAGAAAAACAGGCAGAGTTGAGGTATGATGCCTATAATTTGACAACATCTAAGCCTGATAAACCTGTTGAGGATGACGACGATACAGATTTTACTTCTCTCATTTCAAAAATTAAGAATCTACAGCAAGAGATTGATCAAATTAAAAAAGATGAGAAATCAAAAAATACAGAGTGGCCTAGTCCATTGAAAGCAGTGAAAGAACTTGTTGATAAGAAGTTGGAGGGTAGCAAACAGGAAATACCCTCTGTTAGCAGAGGTGCAGATTTACTACAAGATCTTGAATATTTCCAAGAAGAGAACAAGGAAGGTAATGATAACCCAAAGAAAGAAAATGAGGTTATTGACCTAAGTGGAGATGGAGTAAATATTCCTGGGTTTGGATTTTCCGAAGAAAGCCCAGAGAAAAACTATCAAACACCTATTGAGCACATTGAAATTTCAAAGGAACCAGTTATAGAGACAATCGACCTTTGTGATGATGAACCTGATCTGCAGAATGATGAAATTCCACTTAAAGGATCACAAGAAGAAACAGTGGATTTATCAGACAATCATGATAGTGATGATAACTACCTTGTAATATGTGATCATTCACCAGAAAAAATTGCTGAATCAACAGCAGCAAAAACAAATCAAAGTTTAGTTGGCTTTTACAAGGATACCCTTGTTGATGACGAGAAAGCAATAAAAGATATGCAGGAAAGGTTTCTACAAGCGGAAGAGAATATACATGTATTTCAAATGCCAAAGGCCGTTTCTACTCCAACAAAGCATGCAAAGAACAATGAAGGAGAGATGAACGTGGACAATGATAAAGATATTGGTTATATTTCTTGTGAAGGTTCATATACATCAGAAAATGATAGTTCTCCTGTCAAGCAGAAGAGAACATTAACAAATAAAGCTATAACTGACGATGGCAGAAAAACTCCAGATGAATTGGGTTTAAAACTACAAGAAAATAGTGCAGAACTACATTCAAAGGTAAGTCTTCCTAACATGAGATTTTTCAAATACATGATAATGACGAGAATATTTTGTAAGTATAAGCTGCAACATATTCATTGATTTGTTTAGAAAAAAAAATGTTGAAGAAGAGATGAACTTTTTAAGGTATTTAGATGGTATGTGCTGAATATATGTATGAGATAAAGATAATGGTTTGATAAGAAGTAAAGCAAATCTTTAACTCTTTTTGTTACTCAGTTTTGTTTTGATAGGAAATGATGCACACATATTAAATGCACATAAAGTCTATTGTATAGGGTATGCATTGCATTTATACAGTAATACAGCAGATTTATAATGTGGATAAGAAATGAAGAAATTGTAAAACAGTTTTTGTAATTCAGAAAGGTGTGATTGGAAATGTAACATACCCTGTACATGTCACACATTCGGTCAATGTTCACCTAAGTCACCTTTGTCTTCTTAACAAATATATATATGTTGATAAAAGAAATCCCCTATTATGGCCAACATGTGATGTCTCTATATTTCTGAGCAAAATTTAGTTCTTTTATGATCCAAAATCGGCATCAGAGGTAGTAATTTACACAACTTGGAAATGTCTGCATATTGATTTGACTAATTATTGCCCTGTCTTCATAAGAAGATTTATAACTTATAAAGTTTCCCTTGTTTTGGCCCCACACTATCTTTGGAGGTCGTTATATAAACCTCTGAATCTAGCCTTGAGCCTTTGAGTCCACATAGAAGATACTAGTACCTATTGTGGCCCCGCCCTACCCCAGGATGCTTCCACATAAGTTTCAGCTTTTCTGGCTCAGTGGTTCTTGAGAAGAAGATTTTTTAAAGATTATTCCTATATATTTCAATGTAAAACTTGGATTCCTTATTGTGGCCCCGCCCTACCCCCGGGGGTCATGATTTGAACAATTTAGAATCTACACTATCCCAGGATGCTTCCACATAAGTTTCAGCTTTTTTGGCCCAGTGGTTCTTGAGAAGAAGATTTTTTAATGACCCCACCCTGTTTTTGTCTTTTCTTGATTATCTCCCCTTGTAAGGGGACTTGGCCCTTTATTTTAACAAATTAAACTCCCCTTCACCCAAGGATGCTTTGTACCAAGTTTGGTTAAAATTGGCCCAGTGGTTCTTGAGAGGAAGTTGAAAATGTGAAAAGTTTACAGACGGACGGACGACGGACAACAGGTGATCAGAAAAGCTCACTTGAGCTTTCAGCTCAGGTGAGCTAAAAACCAGAGAGCTGAATTTGGTTGGGAATTATTTCTGTTTGTTTGTATGTTGTTTAACGTCCCTCTCGAGAATTTTTCACTCATATGGAGACGCCACCACTTGCCTGTGGAGAGCTGCAAATTTTGTCCTATACTCGCACTTACGGCCATTGAGCAGTGAGGGATCTTTTTCGTGCCAGCACCTACTGCGACACGGGACCTCGGTTTACACGGTCTCATCCGAAGGACCGATCTCCACGTCCCACAGTGGGATTCGAACCCGCGAACGTAAGGATTAACTCCTTACTTCGCGACTCTAGAGCAGACGCTCTAACCACTGCGCCACTCGGGCGACTGGTTGGGAATTAAAACAAAGTCTAGTTTACAAAATAATTGTCTTACGAATTTTACATATTAAGTGATTGAAAAACAATACATAAATATGTAACTATATGATTATTGAATGATAAAAATCAAAGTAAAAATAACAGAATTAGTGTAAAAATAAATGGTTTATGTTACACAAGGAAACACCATCCAAGTTATCAACAGTTACAAGCTCAACAGATTTATCAGCTAGGAGGAGCCCCTCTGAAATATCATCTAGCGATGAATCAAGAAGGAAAGCTCAAAAAGCCAAAATGAAAGCATACTTGCTGAAAAAGAAAAGGGGGATGATTGGATATACAAGGAAGAGAAAACGGAAAAAGAAACAGGCGGAAGTGGATGATCTTATTAGTACGACTTCCTCTGACCTCCTGGATGTCAGGTATATAAGAATTATAGCAAAATTTTTTTCCTTATGTTCAATAATTAAATTTAAGCTATTAGAGGATGTTTCTTTCCTTGCTTGTTCACGTACAAGAGATTACATTATATATGAAAAATAAATAAAACATAACTACTTTAACTTTTTTTCTGAATGATTCATCAAAGCTATGAAATACAAATCTGTCCACTCATTTATTCGAAGTTTTTTTTTTTTTAACTATTTAGCGAATCTTTGAGTTTGGATAGATTTTCTGGTGCCCTATCTTCAAAATCAAGAATGTCTTCACCTCTCGATAGTGTGCAAAAGCTGAATACTTTGCTGGTAGACTTGGGAGTGAAACACTGGACAGATGGTTTGAAAGTCAAAGAACTGCAACCAGTTGTCTACTTAAGAAGGGTAAGATATATGTATATTGGGTAGTAAAGTCTAAGCTGTACAGAAAATATTAAAATGTGAGGAATATAATACCTTCTTTTTCACTTCTTAGTGCGATGACCCAAAATCAGTAACATCAAACCAGCCTTTGACAAGAATAAGGTTAGAATCACAGACATCAGAAATATTGCCTGATGTGGACAGTCGATTTCCTCAGCACAAAGATGACAGAGTTAAAGAGTGGATTGAAGGAACAAGAAAGAAAATAAAATTAACATTGAAAGACCAGCAAGAGAATGAAACAGAAAAAGCACAGAGTATTCCTGTGCTTCATACTTCAGAGAGAAAAGTTTCAATACCAGTTTCAGCAAAGCCTGAACAGAAGAAAATAGATGATGTTAATTCCAGTGAAAAGAGAGACATAAAACAACAAATATTACAGCCTAGTCAAATTAAAACGGAGCCCTGTTTAAAGCCAGATGCAGTCTCAGTGACTGTTACAGGAGTGAAAATCGAAAATATACAAACTCAAGGGCAAGTTAGGAACATCTCCCCAATCACAGTTATTTGCTCTAAACCGCCAATAATAGCACAAACGAGGGTACCTTCTCCAGTCGTTACTTGTATGCAAAATGCAAATATCAGTTTTAAACCAATAAGTGTAACTTCACAAGCACAGCAATTAGCAGTTGCACAACAAGACTTGTTTACTCCGCGAGTCGTTAGACTTTCATCGAGTGCTCCATCTCAACACAGCTTCGTAATTCCCACGATAAGACCCGAGTCAGAGTTTCAACAATCAACAACCAGATTGGTGACCTCATCATTCACAAATCTCTCGCAACAGGCACCTCACCAGTCTGTCAATCAGTTGACACCTACCTCATACAATAGCAATCTTGCCAACCCATCAGGACTCACAGGAGCTTATCATGTAATAAATCCCATTTCTTCAACTCCTCAAAGACCACCTGTTGCACATCCATCTCCATGTATTCAGCAAAGTTTAACAGTCCAGTCTTCAATTTCTCCTTATTTATCTTCAGTGCCCCATCTCTCAGGGGCTCCATTAGCTGTCTCTCAAGGACAATCAACAGTTGTCAATACACACCCAACCGGGCAAAATGTTTCATCTCAAGGAAACACACTTGTTGGTAATATTTCAGTACGTCCTCAGAATGCCCATGTTTCACCTAATGAGCAGATACTACAGAGCAACTTAGTACAAGTATCTAAAACATATGGTATTAATCCTAACTTTCCACCACCATACAGATACACGTCTGCATCTCAGCAACCGTTTTCTATCCAAAGATTTCAAACTCCAGTTACTCAATCTGTATACCAAGGTTCTTATCACCCTCTGCAATCATCAATCCAAAATCCTCCTCAGCCAAATCTACAAAGACCTTTGTATACAAATCAACCTCATCATCAGCAATTGAACCAAAGAGCAACATTTCAACCTGTTCACCTAGGAATTGCAGATAACCAGGGAGTACCGCCTCATCCTGGTCTTCAGGTTGTGCCACCACCACCAACTCCCCTTTCTCAAGTTACACCATCTCAACCTATTCATCAGAACCCGTCTTCTTACCCTAAAGCATCCTTTGGACAGGTACCTGCATCATCCTCATCCACTTTAAGTGCAACTTCTGATACTACGGCTGCAAAAAGGAAATCTACAGATGTTATGGATTGGTTTGCTGAGAAATTTATACCAAAGAAACATGTGAAAGAGAGTGGGTCAAGCAGCTATACTGATACATATTCTGATACTGATTCTAGAAGTTCGAGAAGATCAAGATCTCGAAGCCCAACTGACACTTATACTGAATCATCACTATCCCCAAGCCCACGGAAAAAGCGATCCGATTCTTTTTTAGTCTATGGCTGCCAGCAAGGAGCTGGCAGAAATGAAATGAATACGAATATGAACGATGGAAGTATGGTTTCCCCACAAATGAAAGATAAGTCACCAGAAAGAGTGAAGTATTCACTTGTTTGTGACGAAAAACGACATTCACCAGACAGGAGGAAACTGCCTGTAGAAAAACAGAATTCTTCAGAAAGTCGAGGAACAGTGGTTGTAAATAATATGAATGGGAAAGAACGGTTAGAAAAGAGTCCAACAAGGATTGACTCCCCATGTAGTCCTGTCAAAGGAAAACCTGTTGAAGAAAAACCCAAACCAACATTTAGAAACACTTTTAGGCAAATAACAAATAATGTGCAGCAATCAGAAAAAGAAATTGCAGACACTCCAGCGAGTCCCGACAGTGACACTCGAAATGTTTTATTTGAGACTCCTGCAAGTCCCGAGCAAGAAACACCAGCAAGTCCAGATCATAATGTTTCAGAAATCCCACAAATATCTTATGAAATCATTGAATTGAGCGAAAGTCCAGAGAGACCTACAGATGATGACAAAATTGATCTTTTTGATACTTCAATCGATAGACTTGATCGTAAACGAGAAGCAATCAGAAAACAATTGGATGATTTAAGATCAAATTCAAATTCGCCTCGGGTGATCAGGAATGTTGAACTGAAATCCAATGACTTAATAGAGATTTCTGATGAGGAATTGGAAGAGGGGGAAATAGCTGATGAAAGTAAACGGAAAGAAAGCGGTTCTGATATTGACAGGCGAGTTGTTGCTCTTCATGGAACTGAAGATTCCAAAGATAAAATTTTGAGCAAATATCATGAAGGATTAAGTGTGACTGTAAATGCTAAAGGAAAACCAGATCAAGGAGATAAAAACAAAATTATGAAAACACAAATGTATGACATGAATAATTTTGAAAAAGTGAATGAAAGGGATAAAAGCTGGTCTTCAGATGATAGTGATCGTGAAAAGGACAGAAATAGTCGTTCAAATAGGTACGGCTATAATTATAGGTCGTCAAGAAGAGATCGATATTCACGCAAGTCACATGAGTACAAATCAAGATATAAGTCACGAGGTCGAAGTTCAAGTAGTGATAGGAAGTATAGATCACATCGTCGTAGCTGTAGCACCAAAAAGCGATACACATCTCGTGGTCGGAGCTCCAGTAGTGAAAGGCGATATAGATCACGTAATCGAAGTTCAAGCAGTGAAAGACGGTACAAATCACGTGGTCGGAGTTCAAGCAGTGAAAGACGGTACAAATCACGTGGTCGGAGTTCTAGTAGTGAAAGGCGTTATAAGTCACGTGATCGCAGTTCCAGTAGAGAAAGACGACATGAGAAATACAAGAGATCCAATAGATATACTTATAGAGATTATGGCAGTGATTCTAGCGAAGGAGCAACCAAGAAAAATATTAACAGGGATAATTCAGAAGACTTTGTTGAAGCTAGAACACTTCCGAGTCAAAGCGAATCGCGCAACAAGGATGAAAAGCTCCAAACAGATAAAGTATCAAACGAAAGGAAGAAATACAGCACCTCAGCGGCAGCAAGTGCTTGGTCTGAAATGTTACGACAAAAACCTACGAATATTGAGGTCATTAAGGGTGACAGAGGAAGTAAAGATATGCCTATCTCAACTGAAGACGACTTAAACGTGTACAAAGAGCTAAAAGAATATTTAACGAATAAAAACACTGATGCTAAATCAACCATCCAAAGTGGAAATAGGCAAATTAACGTATCTGATCAGGCTAAAGAAGCTAAAAGTTTTGTCCGAGTTATTCGAAATATGACTTCTACAGAGACGCTTAAATCTTGGGCAATCAAGGAATTTAAATTTAATACAGAATCCGAATTTGATGAAATCGCCTCTCAGATAACTGTTAATTTGGACTTGGAGATAGCGCAGTTATCGAAGTGTCAAAGAAAAGCAACCAAGGCCAAACTACGGAAAGAAGTCGAAATTGCAATGGAATCATTGCGAATTGAACGTCTTGGCGCAAACCATTCATTTCCCGCTTCTTCGGCAGAGAGCGTTGTCAAAAATGACAGGAACGCATTACAAATCAGACCTTTTGAGCCTTTAAATATAATGAAAAATTTGATAGAAAAAGAACTAGAGATAGTTCGCGATCATCTGAAGAAACTGTGGCATTCCACACAAGTGTTGATTGATGCTTCACATCCTGGTTCCTCGGGGGCCCCAACCATTGATAAAAGTGCCCATTTATTTTCAATAAGACAGGACATGCAACAAATAGAAACGGACCTAGTTCAAAGAATTACAACGTATGGGGCGCATTACGGAGTACCAAATCGCCGAGTACCAAACGATTTATTGACCGATGAGGAGAAAAATAGTCACTTCTCTGAGGAAAGTTTAGTACTGGTATTGTCCGGCTATATTCCCTCAAAGGCTTTTCAAAAACTCACGGCACTGCGAGAAAAACTTGAAAACTCAAAGAAAGATATTGCTAAAGCAGAGTCATCGCAAAATAAAGAACAGTTAGTTAGACTGAGAATGGGTAAGGAAGAGATTCACAGAGCCAGAAAGGCCATGATGTTATCCTTCACTGGGCCTCTATCAAAGAAAAGGATTCAAAAGATTAAAACCAAGGCAAAGTGTTACAGAAACTGCATAGATTATTTTAAAAAGGAACTGGGTGAATTTGATGCAGAAACTCACCTGAGGTACCTGATGATATCCCTGCAAGATCTGGATAAACACTTCAGTTTATTAACTCAGTTACAGGTGAGGAAGCTGTTTGATAAAAAGATATATCGTATGTTATTGTCATTATATGATTTTTTTTTCTTTTTCTTATTCGTTTGAATAAATTTTACATTTTTTTTTCTAGGAGGAACAAGAAAAACAAAAACAAGAAGAAATAACTCAGTAAGATTCAAACATAATCATTTATGAATTTTTAAAAATGGCTGACATTTGACTGTACCTTTTTGTGTGTGTGTATATATATATATATATATATATATATATATATATATATATATATATATATATATATATATATATATATATATGTAATGTCTAACAATTTAGAGACATTCATCTGAAGAAAAGAAGAGTGATGGTAGACAAATTTCATGATAACTTTCGATTTGTCGACAACCAGTTGAACAGCATGTTTGCGAAATATCAATTTACGAACCCACACGTGTTGCCAGCCATTACGGATGTTTCCAAAAAGATCAAAGAAGCCTTGGTGTTAATAGATGCCGAGAAAGACTCTAAGAACATATCTGTTAACACCGTTGCCCAGTTAGAGCAAATTCTGAAATCGTGCCTAACTGGCTACGAAAATGTTAAACAACAAATAGGTAGGCATTTTTAAGATGTTACAACTTTGTTTTTAAGAGAAACTTTGCAATGATAGAAAAGATTTAGATATTAGTCAACCATGATTTTTTTGTTCTCAAAAATTTGATCTTTTCATGCAGTTGACCTTGAAGTGAGTATTCGGTCACATTAAGCAGAATGATAAATATTTTTGCTGTCGCATACATGTACCTTCGTTATACCAGCGTTTCTTCTATTGTGTATCGTGTTGTATTGCAATATTTTTAATCTGTAAATTAATGAAATTAATCCTAACTACAGAATGTTAGGCAACAAAAAAAGGCAATTGATGTTGTAGCTTTTGTAACTCTTTTTTAAATTCTCCGGTCTTTCTACCACTGCCCTCCTAATGTCTCCAGTTTAAATATTTAGCAGTTAAAGTTTATGACAACTTCAGCATGAGTATTTGTGTGTTGTACATTTGTGAATACACTAAATAATCTGTTATTTCATAAAATTGAATAAGACAATAGTTTTAAGCAATTTTGAAAAAAACAAAAAACAAAGCAACCTGTATTTAAATTTTAACTTAGTAACTTAGTGTCTTTTCCCCCGAACTGATAATGTTAAAATATCATAAAAGAACCGTACTATATAATTTTCACATAATGAATTCATTTTGCATGATTAGGGTCTGTTGTTCTTATATTGTAGTTCCTTGTTTTTAGATATTATAATAGCATAATTAAAGCATGACTTAGTTCTTAGAACTAAGCACATTAAAATGATCTGATATGTTACCGACATACATGTAGTGTAATTATTTAACCAGAATTACTGAACTTTTTAAATTGTAATATTTACTGACAAATCACATGTGCATCTGCCATTAAATTTCTCATATATATCAGCAGTTACGAATAAGTTAAATCCATTTGGGATATTCTGACATATGATTACGAGGGGTGGGGGCTATACCTGTAACACAGAAATAGATAAAACATATATATATATATATATATATATATATATATATATAGATATAGATATAGATATATATCGATTTCTCTACTTAAATGGGTATATCGACGGACAGAATGGATTGCTAAATAATAAGACCAGTCCGAAACAAAAAAGATTCCTTATTTGCAGATCTTTTTAAATATAGATAATAATCAATTTTCCTTTCTTACTTTTTTTTTTTACATTGCTTCGTTAAAACACAGCGATATGTAGATGAAATACCGTAGTTCCCACAGACATGTACGTGTAGACTATACGGTATGATAATAATTCAACAATTACTACTCTGTCTTTCTAGAGGTGGCATAATTCGAGGTCATTAATAACATCAGCATTCTGTTCTTCATATTTTTTTTTATATATTTGCAGAGTCCTCATTTTGTGTCGTTGAATTTACACTTGCCTTGTAAATTGTAAGTTTGCATTGAATTCATTTTGTTTTTTAAATATATCTATTCTTATAAAAGTTACTTTCAAAGAATATTTGGGGCATTATTGTGTGTACAGATGCAGCAGTCAGTTTTGTAACTAATGTTGTGTTCTATAATGTAAAATATTTTTTTTTACAAATAATCTTTGCTGTGTAGTAGTGTAGTAATTTGCAAACCGGCCAGTTTTATTTTAATTAGAATTTTGCAACTGTAAAGATGCGATGTGTTATATTATAAAACAGTTGTTGTTGATTAAAATACGTCGTATCAGAATGAGTTTATATTTTATATTCTGTAGATTTTCAACCAAAAAAAAAATTGGATGGGGTAGAAACGGTAACAAACTTTCCCGATTTTTTCAAATGTAAAACTTTATCTCAATTTATATTTTGCTGTTTTTTTTAGGTCACCTGAGTAAACTCAGATGACCTATTGCTATCTGTTTTCGTCCGTCGTCGTCCGTCGTGCGTTAACTTTTGAACATTTTCAACTTCTTCTCTAGAACCGCTTAACCAATTTCAACCAATTTTGACATATAGTATCTATGGGTGAAGGGGAACAAAAATTTTGAATTTCATGGTCCCGGCCCCCCTGGGGCCTGAGGGGTGGGGCTTAAACCACCAAAATTGATGCAATCTTCAAAATTCTTCTTCTTTACTCCTGGACAAAATGTTGGCATGGTTGTAATAAGCATTGGGCCCTCTACCAAAATCGTGAAATTCATGACCCCAGGATCAGGGGTTCTGGTGCTAGGGCGGGGCCATATAGATCATATAGTGAAAGTGCATTATTTCTTTGAAAATCTTTTTCTCTTCTCCAGGGAATAATTTAAACAAACTAAGTGCATGGTTATGATAAGAAATGATGCCTTTTCCAAAATTGTGAATTTCATGGCCCCTGAGTCAGGGGCTCTGGTGTTAGGGCGGGACTCTATTGATTATATAGTGAAAATGCATTAATTCTTTGAAAATCTTCTTCTCTGCTCCTGAGTATTGTTTAAACAAACTAAATGCATGGTTATGATGCACAATGATGCCTTTAACAAAAAAGGGAAATTCATGGCCCCTGGGTCAAGGGGTTCTGGTGTTAGGATGGGGCTCTATTTAGTATATTGTAGTGAAAATGCATTAATCCTTTGAAAATCTGCTGCTCTGCTCCTGAGTATTATTTAAACAAACTAAGTGCATGGTTATGATGGACAAGGATGCCTTTTTCAAAATTGTGAATTTCATGACCCCTGGGTCAGGGCTTCAGGTGTTAGGGAGGGGCTTTATTTATTACTGAGTGAAAATGCATTAATTTTTTGAAAACCTTTTTCTTTGCTCCTGGGTATTATTTAAACAAACTAAGTGCATGGTTATAATAAGCAATGATGCCTTTTCCAAAATTGTGAAATTCATGGCTCCAGGGTTGGAATTGGGTTGGGGGGGGGCTCTTTTGATTATATAGTGAAAAGCATAATTTCTTCGAAAATATTCTTTTCTGCCCCTGGTTACAAAGCAAAGAAACTAAGTGTATAGTTATGATGAACAAAAGTGTTTCTACCAGAATTGTGAGTTTCATGGCCCCTAGGTCAGATGTTCTGGTGTAAGGGTGGGTGAAAATACATTATTTCTGTTAAATAATCCTGTCTGCTCCTTAGTGTTGAGCAGATAAACAAAGTGCATAGGTATGATGAACAATTTTGTGCTTCTGACAATTTTTTTAAACATTGTGGTCCCAGGTTTTGGTGTTTCTTGGGGAAGGGGGGGGGGGCTATAAGGCTATATTGATAATATAGTGAAAATGTGTTAATCCTCTGAAAATCTTCAACGAAGTTATGATGATGAGGGTACCTCTACCGAATTTGTGAATTTCATGACCCTTGGACATGGATTTTAGTGTTAGTGTAGAGCTGTGTTGAATATGTAGTGAAAATGCATTATTTCTTTCAATTTTCTCTGCATTTTGGCATATCGAAGGCAAACAGAATAAAGGTTTTAAAAAGCAAGGATATTTTTACCAGATTTTTGAACATCAGGACCATTTGGTCAAGTGTTCTTGTCCTGACCAGGGCTCTATTAATTTGTATTCTACTGAGAGAAGTTATTCCCCTTTGTCATTCACTTTTGATAAATAATGTATTTGAAAGTTATTAGAATAAGAGAATTATGCAAAACATTTATTATTTAATACAAAAAGTACCTTCATAGTTTTAATGATCAGGTAGACTTGTAAATAATAAATAAATAAAAATGAGACAAAAATAACTTATCTCATTAAATGTTAACAAGAGTTCACAATATGGGATTAAAAGTAGTACAGAAGAACAAATAGTATGTTGATAGTCTGCATGGCGATAGTGATAAATGGGGGATAGTGTAGAATTTAATTTATGAGTTGTTACTGAATACTTGACTAATTATTTCTTTGATCCTCATCATCCTATTTCTCTTGCTTTTGGGCAACAAAGCTTCATCTATCAGTTTATTTTATACTCTATGGATCCTCTAAATTGTTGTATTATACTCAGGTGACCGTTAAGGCCCTTGGACGTCTTGTTTAACATAGAGTTGTACCTTTCACTCAGACAGATGTGTCTGCTAGTTAAAGGGACGACAATTCTGGATAGGGATTGTATAACGTTATATTGTTGAACGAATATATTTCCTTACAATTTTACGATGATTTTTACCTGTATTAGATTCAATGCCTATGATCATAAATCTAATTTGTCTGAGGTCAGGCACTTAGTCTATTCAAGAAATGTATTTCCCAATTTAATCGATCACAGATACTGGCAAACAATCTAGGCTTTATTTCCACATTTTAGGTAAAAGAAGTGCCGTCTGATTGTAATATTACTCCTCATAGTTTGTGAGGATGTGAACTTAACATTACTTTCAAAGGAGTCTTTAAGAGAAACCAAATCTTGCGTAAATAGTCGATCTAGACCTCATAGGATTCCATAAATTATTTGCCTTGCACCACTTTTCATATGATCAATGTGATGACATATTTGCGCCTTATAAGCATACAAATACAAGTGGTTTATAAGTTCCTAAGAAATTACAAGTTCATAAGAAAGGCAACTGTACAATGTAAATATAGCTCAATGATCCACAAACACTGTATGTGTTTAAATATTTTATTACTGAAGAATTCGGCAAGTAACAGGCAGCAGGGCACCTAACATTTTGTTTTTCTACCGTATGTTTACAAGCAGTGGCAAAAAAATTGAAAGATCATGTTTCACATAAACTTGCAGTGCATGATGTTCACACAGGTCATATACTGCGCATGCCCCTCCAAATTTCGAAAGAGGGAAAGCGTTTGCTTTTCACTAAACGCTAAAGAAAACTAAGTATTGGAAAGACACTCTCAGTATATCATATAAAATAAACATAAAATCAATAATTTAATATTATAAATAACATACAAATCACGCCTTTCACTGGTGTCATATATACGATAAAAAAAATCATAAACTTAAAAATAAATTGATAAAAAGGCTGGAATAATGATAATGAGTTTCTTGTCCATGGAAGACAACTATATTACACTACATTCACAACCACTGTTCAAAAGAATTTATATCAAACAATTAAAGCGTTTACAATACAATATGTATAAAACTGGTAAGAATCATTTGTCCATAGACACAGTTTTTGACCATTACAAAGCAGAAAGCCGTTTTAAAGCATTGCAGTAGTTGAATTCTAGTTCCACTTAATTGTAGAGTGTCTTTTGTGTGTGTGTTGCCTTCTCCTAAAAAATAAAAGTCAACATGTCAATATCGAATAAGAAATCTGATTTTTTTTTTTAATTTTGCCTTGCGTCAAGTTCCTGCCACGGATAGGCGTTAATCAAAATACCAAGAATCAGAAAAATAAGAAAGAAAATCTGATTTTTAGGTTACTCGTACCTCTCCACTTTCGTTCAGAAGGACAGTTGTGACCTGTGATCCAATGCCCCAAGTATCGTCATCTCTATATACCAAGTCGTTAACACTGGCATCAGCAGCGCTACCACGGGAGTAGATCTGCAATAATAAACATAATGTTGAAATACATTATGATATCGTCTAAAATTCAAATAACTGATGTATAAAGTAGAGTGCTTGTTTATCTGAGATTAACATTTATAATGCGTACGTTTCCAATAATTCAGCGCCATCTATCGGCTACTGCCTTTCAATTAACTCAGCAATGGCAAATGTATATATGGACTAGATTATTCGGATTATTATGTCTTATACAACAAGTACTTAGCAGTGTGTATACCTTGACAACCTTGCCGGGTTTAAGAGTAAAGTTTCTAAATGTGTAGATGTAATCTCTCTTGCCGTCAACTGTTCTCTTCAGCTTCCATCCATCCATGTTAACTTCCTGTTAAAATTCAATGAACCATATAAGAAAAAGCGTTTCGACAGAAAGGAAGAATGAACTTCGTAAGTTTTTTATTTCAATATTAAATACATTAGTTAATTCTCAATAATCCTCATCCTTACCCTTCT